AGACAGGGTCTTACTCTGTTGCCTGGGCTTTAGTCCAGGCTGGTCTTGAACTCCTGCCTCAAGTGATCCTTCCCCCTTGGCCTCCCAAAGTGCTAGGATTACAGGCATGAGCCACTACCCCCAGCTGTAATTCACTTTTTAAATAGGCCTATTATTCACTCATTCTAATAATTATTAAGCACCTAAAATGAATGATTCAGTGTTCAAAGTATTTGTTGCATTATTGCACAAATAAATAGGATTACCTCAGCAGATTTAGAAAAAACTATTTTGTAAATTAAAAAGGTATTACTGAGAAAACCTATTAAAATATGATAAAGACTGTGTACCAAAAAAATACTTAACAGGAAACAATAAATTAATGGGAGAAAATAGAACATTGCTTTAAGAGCAGGAAGATTACAAGAATACCTGCTATTACAAACACTACTTAGTATTGTACTAGAATTTTAGAAAAATGAGACTAGGAAAAGATATAAAAGGCATAAGGACCTGAAAGGTAGAAATAAATCTGTCATACGTACAATGATATAATTACCTAAATGGCAAATTTCAAAGGATCTATGTATAAAATGAAAATGTTTAATAAAATTACTGGATACCACTTTAATATCTTAAACATCAACTTGCAATTTATAATCAGGAATAGAAATAATAAAATTTTAAAGTCAATACCATTTACAATAGCAAAAATAGTACAACATATAGAAGAATAAATACCAAAACTGTTTTGGAGACCTAAAATATTGAAAACATTAAAGACAACCTCAACAAATTGAGACATTCATTGAAAGATTCAATTCTGAAAAGACTTAATTCTCCTACACTGATTTAGAGATTCAAAAAGCTGCAATTAAGGTTGTATAGGTACACTTCAAGATTAGCTGTAGAAGTTTATAGGAGACTGCTGAACCCACTGTAGCAAACAGGAAAACATGAATAAACTTACCAGCTATCTAGTATCTTCAAAGACCCTGAAGATCTGTCGACGCAAAAAGAGTACAGGAACTAAATGCCAGAGGAGGATGAGCCCCTCCTAGAAGAGCAGAAATTAGTGGCTGCTTTCTTCCCTGGAGGCATTTCCCTGGTCTAGGAACAGGCTGGTGGAGATCAAGGCCTGCAACGGGAAGAGGAACTTTACTGGACTGTGGAGAGACCAGTGAGACGTAATGGTCACAAGTCTAGCATGACATTGTAACATGGAAGATCCACAAGCCTAAGAAAGGCTCTCCCTGCCAGTGCCACTTACCCCATGATGTGTTCCCTGAGTGTGCAGCAGCACAGGAGTCTACCTAGGCACTAGCCTGGAGGAAGTGGATGTCTCCTGTTGTCTTATAGCACTCCAACCCCAAAGTCCTGCTTGAGGGAGTGGCCTGAGATAGTCCTAGGAAAGATCTTTCTCTCAGTATGTATGAACCAGAGGTGAACTAAAACTAATTGTCCCACCTCATTCCCTGACTGGATCAAAGTGAGAAGCTTCTCACCTGAACTGCGTGACAGAGGAAAGGGAATGACTTTACAGGTGAAAATAGTATTTTTAAATATCGGTGGTTCTTTTATACATAATATACACATGCAGTTTAAAACATTACATGACATATGAAGCAGCAAGACAATGATACCAATCATCAAGAAAAAAAGGGCCAACAGAAATAGACCCATAGATGATATGAGAAATTGTAATTAGCAAAGACCTGTCATTCTAAGATAATTATCCACAGATATGTTAAACAAAAAATTTGAAATGGATAAAAATATGTAGAAATGCAATATAGAAGTGGACTCTCTAAAGTACAAATAGACATCTCAGAAGTGAAAATTGCAATCTCTGAAATAAAAAAATTTCTGTATGTGGGCTTATCAGAAAACCTAAACATTAAAAAAGGTGGGGCAGAGGAGGTCAATCAGTGAACTCAAAGGTAGGTTAACAGAAATGTTCCAAACTTAAGAAAATAGAAAAATAAAATAACTCAAAATTAGAATTATATAGTCTGAAAAAAAAAATCCTTCAAAAATAAAGACTGTGCCGGACATGGTGGTTGATGCTTGTGATCCTAGCACTCTGGGAGGCCAAGGCAGGAGGATCACTTGAGCTAAGGACTTCGAAACCAGCCTGAGCAAGAGCGAGACCCTGTCTCTACTAAAAATAGAAAAAATTAGCCAGGCGTGATGGTGTGTGCCTGTAGCCCCTGCTACTTGGGAGGCTGAGGCAGGAGGATCACTTGAGACCAGGAGTTTGAGGTTGCTGTGAGCTAGGCTGACGCCAC